AACAATGACCTTCTAAATAATATTTTATTTACTTTTGGCAATTTAAAAATCCCTTGTGTAGTACTTCTCGTTCCATAATGTCTGTATTCGATGTTTTTATTGCCACTTCTTACATAAAAAACCCTTAATACTTTATAAATAAATAAATGTTGTATAGGTAATAATTTTAATTCCTTGTAGAGTGGAGATGAACTCTCCCTAACATTTTTCTTCAGTATTATGCGTATAAAAAAGTTTTGAGTGACTCTCAACCGATCTATTAAATATTTGAAAGCACTTCCCCAACAGATTATGCCGTACTGTAATTTAGAGTTAATCAAGGCAAAATATAAAGTTCTCAAAAGTGAAGTATTGCAAAAATTTTGTAAATAGTAAAAAGTTCTCACTGTTGATCTGATTGTGTTATGGAGGTTGTTAATGTGTATATCCCAGTTCATTTTTTCGTCTAATGTGACGCCAAGATATTTGAAACTAGCTACTTGTTCAATAGCTTGGCAATCGCATATAGTAGCATTGCAGTCATGCGCATGGTATTTTATTGGAGATAAGAACTTAAAACCTGAAAAATCAAAGTTGATATATTTTGTTTTACTGACATTTATTTCCATGTGATTTTTTACACACCAGTTTCTCAGCAGCACCAAGTCGTGTGTAATGCTTTCATATATGACCTGCTCTCTTTGATGCGAGTAAAATAAAGCAACGTCTTCTGCAAAAGCATTGATCCTTCCTCTGAATGGTAATTCCAAGAGGTCGTTTATGAAAATTAAAAATAAAGTGCTTGACGTCACTGAACCTTGTGGAACACCCGATCTTACAATGTGGGGTTGGCTGACATTGTTTTTAATTCTTACCTGTTGGTTCCTCTGAGTTAAATAGCTTTCAAACCAATTTAAGGCCACACCTCTGATACCGGCAGCTTCTAATTTGTTTAATAGAATTGTGTGATTCACAAAATCAAAAGCTTTTTTAAAGTCTATAAACAGCCCTGTAGTCTTTAAATTTAAGTTGCAGTTGTTATAAATTTGTTCAGTAACTGTAATCAAAGCATCTTCTGTAGATTTACCTTTAATGAACCCAAATTGTCTGTTGCTAAAAAAGTTTAAATTATTTAAAAAATTTAACAAACGTATTTTACATATCTTTTCAAATATTTTAGAGAACACAGACAAAAGGCTTATTGGTCTTAGATTGTCAAGTTTCAAGTTATTACTTTTTTTCCATATTGGAACTACAATACTTGATTTCAATTTATGCGGAAAAACACCATTTACAAAACTTAAATTTATAACGTGGACTAAGGCAGGGGAAATTACATCTACACATCTTTTGACACAATCCACTGTTATGTTATCATAACCAGAGGATTTTTTGTTTTTTAGGCTAGTTATTACGGCAGTTACTTCTTCGACTGTAGTAGGTAATAAAAAAAATGATCGTGGTTGGATTTTAAGCGGCCAAGAAGAACACCAGATACGATTGTACCTATTCCTGTCATTTGTCCAGATTGTACAGAGATTAAGTAGTCGTTGATAACTTGAGCGACAACAGCTGGGTCAGAGATAAGCTTTTTATCATGTGATTCAATCTTATCCACAGTGCCCTTGCTTGTTCTACCTGTTAGACTATTTATTATTTTCCACTGCTGCGCTGTATCACCTTTGCAGCCCTCTAGTTTAGTTTCGTAAAATTGGTTTTTTGTAATAGCTATTTCATTACCTAAACTACTACTGAACCTACAAAAGTAGCTTTCAAAATGTGTATCATATGGCCTCCTCCTAAAAATGTTATACAGTTTTTTTCCGTTTTTTAATTTTATTTATGATACTTGATGAAATCCAAGGTGTAATCTTTTTTGCCTTATTCAATTTACTATTTACATTTGTCTCTTTCATGCAATTCTCCAAAGTACCAACTATATTATTATGAAAAAAGTTGAAACTAATATTTGTATCATTGTTATCAAAAACATTTTTCCAGCTTACTTCTTTTAACTTTTCGTTGAATAAATTTATATCAATGCATTTTTTTTGAACATCTGAATTTTCAAATGTTTCACTCTGTGTATCAAATACACCCTTATATTTAAGCCCTATAAAACAATGATCTGTTACACCTATATCAAAAACAGCACTTTCAAAACTATTTACATCCTTAAACCTAATAAAAATATGGTCAATACATGTTTGAGAAGTACTGGTAATTCTAGTAGGACTGTTAATCATCGAGACAAATCCATTATTATTTAATAAACTGTGATATGCTAACGTTGCATTATCTATACTTAACAAATTTATATTGACATCACCTACATAAATAGCATTTAAGATTGTAGATACCTTAATCTAATCGTCATAAACAGTTCCCACACTCCGGACCGCTCACCTTTACTGCTTCCTTCATGACTTCCTACGTCGCGGACCTGTTTCCCTCCCTTCCCATAGCATTTTAGGATAACAGATACCTTAATCTAATCGTCATTAATCACCACTTTCTACGCCGCGGACCTGTTTTCCTCCCTTCCCATAGTATTTTAGGATTGTAGATACATTAATCTAATCGTCATAAACAGTTCCCACACTCCGGGCCGCTCACCTTTACTGCTTCCTTCACGACTTCCTACGTTTCGGACCTGTTTCCCTCCCTTCCCATAGCATTTTAGGATAACAGATACCTTAATCTAATCGTCATAAACAGTTACCACACTCCGGACTAATATTTACCACAAAACTAATAGCAATAACAACAATTAAAAGAAATAATCTGCTTGGAATAATTCAGTAAGGCCGCCGGAAATTATGCGAATTATGCGGTGTATTGTTAATCAACGCTTAATGGTATTCATCGGACTCCTTTTCTTTTGTACTGTCTTTTGTAAATAGGCCATATGTGCATGTGCAAGCTGAGGTGCCCGTGGGCACAGAATGTCGAGTCGCATACGCTACGATTCTTTGTTTACATCTACGTTTTTATCTCGTAACCATCATGGCAACTCATAAGACTTTTGTTAAACATTGCAAATTTTATGTCAGTCTTAAATTGTCTAGGTATCATCAAATTGAAATTTTTTTTAATTCGAAACATCAAAAATATTTGTCGAAATACCCCTGGTAAGTTTGGATTCAATACGTTCAGCCGTTATTGAGTTAATTGATTACATAGTTTGCATAAGGTCCGATCTCAAAGAGCTTCACTCGCTTCGCTCCACCCTTACCATAGTCACTAGTGAAACTGTGTCTGCATCCCAAATGAAATTCTATGCTGCACTTACTGTAAGTGTACATTATTTAGTAATAATCGGACTTAAAGATCAATGGCGGCCACAATATTCAGAAAGTCTGGATGTATAAGGAATTTTATGTAAGTATTCACTTATTCTACAATAACAATCACATTTTCGTTATGATTTTAACTTGGTTTCAAGGTTCACAACGTTTGTGAACAAATACTTTTTCATTTTTTCACAGTTTTAGAATTACAATGACGTTTTAACCGATGTTCTTTATCTTATACCATTTTTGAGGTATCAGTGTCGCATAGTGTGCTCATTTTTGCCCCCTCCCCCACCCTCACCTTATCGACAATAGGCGACATAAGTAATTTTGATCACCACAGTCCATATTACAATAATCAGCAATAATATTGGGTCATCGGAATTTTATCTCCCTGGGCAAAGCTGACTTCACTATGACGTAGTAACCTGAGCACTCTAAAGTTTGTTCGCGAGCAGAATTTTACCCCCGCGGATTTGGAAGTCTAATGAAAATAGACAGAGCGTAATCAATTAGATTAGCAATAAACACCGGAATTTTACCACCTGTCCATATAACTAGCGTTTAGGCAACTGTAGATGTACGGTCCGGATTTTACCCCCAGATTTTTACCCCCAGAATTTTACCACCGGATTTTTACCCCCTGGAATTTTACCCTCTGGCCAGATATGATATATTTATGATATATCATATCATATCCCCCGCTTGTATTTATGATATAGAAATCATTGAGAATGATTAATTTTCTTCTTTCAGTTTTAATTCAATAGTAAGCACTTTATTATTAATTAGCCTGTCTTTAATGTATTTGTAATCTTAACTAAGTAAACAGGTTTTGCTGAATTATTTTGATATTCGGCATTTGGGTTTGGGGCCAACTGTTGGTTAATATGTATCTATAATAAACTGAGTGTCTCATTTAAATGATAATTGGGTGAACATTTCTTAAACGATTTATTACGGAAAAAATGTATTTTCGTTTCTGTTGTACAATAACACAATATGCCTTTTTGTTTCTTCAGGCACAAAACATGAGCTATTTTATGGTTTGTACTGAACTGAGAAAGGCCATTGAAATACCTGTTGTAAAATGTAGTTGTAGGCATCCGGTAAAAAGTATTTGATCAATTAATTGTTGTATTGACTACTGCAAACCCAAATGTATATACATATTAACCAACAGTTGGCCCCATAAATCAAATCCAATAACTTGAATATTAAAATTAAAATTAAAAACCTGCTTGATTAGTTAAGGTTACAAATAAATTAAGATAAGCTACTTAATAATAAAATGTTTCCTATTAAATTAAAACTGAGAGAAGAAAATTAATCATTCTCACTTATTTCTATATCTAGTCAGGGGGTAAAAATCCGGGGGTAAAAATGTGGACCGTACATTTTGAGCTGATCTCGTGAAGGGGGTAAAAGTCTGTGGGTAAAATTCCGGCCCGTACACTCAAAATTCGTGTGCGGAATTTTACCCCCTGGTTTGTGATGTCAGTTTAGCCCAAGGGGTAAAATTCCAGGGGGTTAAAAATCTGCTACCCCTTAATATTTCGTACTACTTTCATGCATGCTCAAACCCCCTCAGCTCCTGGACTACTACTCGTACATAAAATATCTCCCAAAATGAGTGTATGCGGTTCATGTTATGTTCCTTTTTTATTAGACCTAGTTTTTTAAATCTTTATTTACTATGTACCGTATTTAATTGACAATATTTTTCAGGAACTTAGGGAACTGAACCATGAAAATGTTGTAGCATTACTGGACTGCAAAGTAAGTTTTTATACTTATTATACTAGGCTATTATGAAAAAAATAATAGTCTCAGGATTCCTAGTTTTGTTTGAAATTTCTTTGCTATCACCCATAGGTGTGAAAATCCTCGGTAATTCTGAGCAATTACTTGGTCAACCCTAAACTTTTTAATATTTTACTACGATAATGTAGAGATGTATGTGAAACTAAAAAAAACATAATTTAGGCCACGAAAATTTAATATATGCTATATACAAATAGAAATTACTTCAGTAATCGCCGGGTTCAACATCCTCATCCGAGTCAGCAGCAACTGGATCATTGTTCTATTGTGATGGTTCCCCGTTGCAACCTAACCTAACCTAACATAATGGTACTGTCACAACTGGCCTTCCACGCATCTCCCGCTAGCCACTGTTACCGCGTGGACTTTGAACCTTCAACGCTTGGCAACCTGTACGATGGCCTTGCGGGGCTTGAATTATATGTTTCTTGTTGTCTGAAAACATCCTTATGACCGTAGTAAAATATGAAAATGTTTGGGGTTGACCAAGTAATAGCTCAAAATTACCAGATCCTCTATTAAAAGCGATTTAAATGAAAGCTTGGCCAGTGTCTACTCAGTAGACGATTGTAGGCCTATTCACTGTATGAATTGACTGACGAGCCAATTAGCTTTTTAACAATATCATTGTCATTGCCCAAGTTTTGCTTATGTAGTAAATATACAGGGTAATTGATATAAGTATGCCAGCTGTTTCATTCAAAAATTATAAGAGATATCAAAATACCCCCGCCGCAGCAAACCTGCAGACTAAGCGAATTTCCATTTCCATGAATGGATTTACACTAAAATGTCTCCTTAAAAATATCACATATTCCCTATTTAAATAGAATCAGTTTAAAACATACTTAGGTTTGCTGCAACAGGGAGGGTAAAAGTGTTTTTTATGTAAAATGTTAATAGTTAGTAAGAAATAAAATCATTTTCCAAATTTGGGCAAAATATGTTAATAAACAAGCAAACTACAACAGTTTACTTATTCTCCATAAGAATAACATGGGAATTTTAAATTTACAACTTTTTGGAATTTTCTCCGTAACCATTAGGCACATTATAACGCTTCAATATACTAAATTATTTGTTTTTTTAAGCTCTACAAAATAGTTTAGAAAGAAATTGTAAAATTTTATGTTTTTTGGGTCAAAAATGGGAAAACCCCATTTTTACCCCATAAAAGCCCCCATAAACCCCCCGTTCCCATGGTCCGATCATGCTGGTTCGCGAACTCGTTCGAATAAACGTAGGTTTACACGGTTGTACCAAATTTCATCAAAATCGGATCATTTTTGCTCGAGTTATCGCGCTAACGGACACACATATATATATATATATATATAAATACTAGCTGACCCGGCGAACTTCGTATCGCCTAAGTTATAGGTTTCCCCTAAGACAGACCGATGGAAAGAAAGTACCGTTACGTTTAATTTTCAAGATGATCTCGTTCGCATCGCTCAATCACGCCCTGGTTGAAGTTCGTTCGCTACGCTCACTCACCTTTCGGTTGGAGCTCGTTCGCTGCGCTCACTTGCCTTCAGGTTAGCTCGTTCGCTACGCTAACTCGCCTCCAGGTTGAAGTTCGTTCGCTACGCTCACTCACCTTTGGCCTGGAGCTCATTCGCTACGCTCACTCACCTTTAGGTTGGAGCTCGTTCGCTGCGCTCACTTGCCTTCAGGTTAGCTCGTTCGCTACGCTAACTCGCCTCCAGGTTGAAGTTCGTTCGCTACGCTCACTCACCTTTTGGTTGCAAATTAGCTGTTGTCATAAATGTAAAAGAAATAATAGTGCTGCACCCTGTTGGTAATCCTTGTAACTTTAATGCTATTGAACATCATAGAACAGAACCAACTTGTTTAATTGAAACAGCTGTTAAGATTCATTAATTCCATTTCTCATAAGGTTAACATGGGAAACTCCAGAGCCACTGGGGCGGAGGCCTTTTAAGAATTTCGAAACGGGAAATAGTTTACGTCCGATTCGCATACCTACAGAATTTACACACCAAATTTCATAACGATCGGTGAAGTCGTTCCGGAGGAGTTTGCAGACAAACACTGTGACACGAGAATTTTATATATTAGATATATATATATATATATATATGAATTTGAACGGATGGTGTTTTTGGCCTCTCGGGACCTCAAAACAAAAACAAAAATCGGTCCAAAAAATTCGCTAAAATATTAAATTGTAACTGCCTTAGATTTTTTATTAAAAAGATGTTGGTCAAGTTGAAAAAATAATTTTAGCCGCCATTTTTCCAATATGGCTGCCAACTTTGAAAGATTCCCTGAAGAACTTCTTAAGGAAGACCCTATATTTTATGAATTTTTTAGAAAGTAAATGCATTTAAAAACGTTTTTATTCCTGGCATTTTTTTTCCAGTAGGCTATGTTAAAACTAAAAAAAATGACTTGTGTACATTCTGTGCCATGTAGCTCCTATACGAGTAACTTTAGTTTAGAGAGAAAATGCTGATAGTAAAACAGTCTTTAAATGACATCTACATTCTAAAAAAAGACAATTAAAAACATAAAAAATATTGATTCCATTATTTTAAAAATAACCGCCATTTTCCATAATGGCAGAAAGTTTTAAAATAAGAAAACTATGTATTTTATGTGGTTTTTAGAATGTAGATGCAACTTTAAGACCTATTTACTATTACCATTTTCTCTCTAAACTTACTCATTTAGGAGCTACACGGCACAGAATGTACACTGTAGGCCTAACTTATTTTTTCTTAGTTTTAACAAGCTGTAACTTCTAAATGCTTTAGAGAAAAAATGCCAGGAATAAAAACGTTTTTAAATAGCATTTACTTTAAAAGAAATGCATAAAATATAGGGTTTTCCATAAGAAAAATCAAAGTTGGCGGCCATATTGGAAAAATGCTGGCTAAAATTATTTTTTCAACTTGACCAACATTTTTCTAATAAAAAATCTGAGGCAGTTACAATTTAACATTTTTTGATATCTCTTATAACTTTCAAATAAAACAGCTGGCACACTTAAATCAATCACCTTTTCCTTGAACAAAACTAATATTAAGTTAAGTTATTTATTGTATATTTATTTGTATTCTCATAAAATATTACTAATCTCAGACTTACCCAAAAAATTTGCAAGAATTTGCAAATTCTGTCATGTCATATTGGGTCAAAAGGGTTATTGCAGTATAAAGCTGTTTACTGCAGTTTTATTTAATATTTATCTATATATACATATATATATATATAATACGCTAAGCTGATCTTTGTGAACAGAACTCCTCCCTCATTTTTGGACCGATTTTGATGATTAAAGTGTCAAAAAAATGGCCCTGATCTGTAGTTTTGCAAAGTCTTTTTCATTTTTTGAAATATTTATTAGTTTGGGCAGGATATTCCATCAAAGTTGGGTTTTCTCTCAGAAGATTAACATGGGGAATCTAAATATTTCATTGGAAACTTTGTCTCCACTAATTTGAGAAAACGGCTGGGCGTAGAAACTTGGTAGAGGTGTGTCCAAAGAAAGCTCTCGGTCTCTAGATGAGCCATCAAAAGAAAACAAAGTAAATTCCCTTAGGGCTCTGTACCAGAAACCTTTAAAGTTCCTTTCCCAGATTTGTTTACATTATCGTCATATGGATAATTTTTTACTACTTTTTAATGAAACAGCTGTTAATATTTAAATTGTATTTTAAACAACACATATTATAGCGAGTTACCGAGTTTGTCAAAAAGAAGTATTTGCAATGTAATTTTCTGATTTTAAAATTTATTTTGTTCTGCATCATCTCATGTTTTGGAATATAACGTTCCATTACAAAATCATTGGAAAATATTTATATTACATACAGTAACTCTTAAAATGATTTCTTATTGAATTATCTTATTTCTATTATACGGATTGGTGTCTACCTTTTTGACCACTTTTGTCGATATTTTGCCATATCTAAGACAGATCATCATAGGTTCATGAGATTATTTTCATACATGTTTTCAATTATTAGAAAAGATTTTGATTGTGTAATACAATACAAAATAATACAAGTGCAGAAGGGCACGTTGCCCATGAGCCGTGTATATATTTTAAAATTAATAGTGGTTTACAGCAACTGGATTAAATTTTTAATAATTTTTATGAAGAAATATGTGCACGATTTAGAAACTTGCAAAATTGCAATTTATTGCAGACTTTTTAGAGATGTTACTTCGATGTATTAATTCAGCTTAGTGAAAACACAATAGAGCCTTTGAATGTTATTAAACTAACTAAAAAAGGTTGTGCATGTTTAATAGCGCTACTCAGCAACAAAAACCATTTAATTGATCTCTAAAAGAAATTTTGTAAAGTGCACCGGTAACTTACCAAGATAGTAACATAAAAAATGCCCATACTACATACTACAAAAAAGGTTCAGGCCAGAGCTATTTTAATGCGCTTGGATTGTGACATTTATTAATTCGGCTTATATTTTTCGTAACCAACGGATTATTTATCTACAGAAGAAGTTCATTGTGCTCTTATCCTGTCTAATAACATCCAAACACAGAAACCTTGCCTAAAATAGTACCTATATCTTGACAGATGGTTTGCAGTAGCCTATTACGGCCCGTGGCCCACTTGGTTGACCTTAAGTGAGATTTGTGAAAATAACACTACACTTCGACTGTAAAACAAATTTCACAAAGATGAATTACCATTTAAGCAGTTACTGTCATGACAGAAAAGTCGTGTTCCTTTTCAACTAGATCTCCTCATCCTTTCTAAGATACGTTGATTAACAACAATGCATGTAAACGTCACTATTTACGTAACAATTTACAGTATTTGCTTTTTGGAAATGCAGCATTGCATTGTCATTCACATTATTTGTGGACAATGAAGCCACATGACCATATGAACGAGGTCCCTCATTTCAAGAATAAGAGCCAGCTTCACTACAAGTATATTCCACTACAACTAACATTCCGAAGATATATTGAACACTTAATGTAATTTATAAGGCTGAGACAACTGACATCCGCATGTCATGGAATCAAAGTTATGCAAAAAAAATATTATTGCTAAATTTAGAGGGTTATTTATTGGCACAGAAGAACGGTATGATGTCCGACGTGACAAAGGAAAAATAAAACTTACACAGTTTTAGGGTGGTCCTCCCTTTGAAGTAAAAACGTGCCTTCTCAACAAACAGATATTTTTTGTAAAAAAAAACACAGATTTAATCTGCATAACACTGATGAAATCGCAGAAGTGTGTACCACAAAAGATCCAACAATACGATTTTAATACTATTTAAAGATTCTTCCAAAAGCATTCTTCATTTTATTATATTCATCAAAAAGAAGAGAAACCAGTTACCATAGGAACAATAACACCTACTAGTGACCCTGTTGCTCGAATTCGAGCAATTGCTAAGTATTACAGGTGTTATTTTAAAACGGTCATAATTTCTGATGACTTTAAATGATTCGACTCAAAGATTATGGAAATACTCAAGATGTACATAACAGATCGATATAATCAACATTTCTTGTAAATATCTTATCATTTTTCAAAAGCTGATCTAGTTTTTTAGGGTTTTCTACGAATAGCCTTACTCATAGCTGCATTAAATTGTCCATAATAACGATTATAAATAAAAAAAAAAAACATTATTTCTACTTATTCTCCTTGGTGGTGTTCTATGCCTTTCCTGTGTTTCCATTGTTTGCAAATCGGCTCCTTCAATGATTACTAAGAAATGCAGCACAGTGTTAATCCAGTTTTCTTTTTAGTATATCAATTTATCCAGTCTCTCTCGCTTTTTTCCAATAATATTTACGCCAACACAAATTCAAATAGTAAAAATTTAATTTCAACCAAGTCAGTATATGTTTGTAGCAAACTGTTAAATTAGCTAACTTAATGAGCCGTATTAATAAAGAAGAGGTAAACCTTTTACTTGCGAAAATTCGAGGAAATCCTTCTATCTGTATTAATAAAAACTCAAGCAAAACCTTTTACTTTATAAGGAAAAGGTAATCCATAGAAAGTTGAGGTTTTGCTCATGACTTAAGTAAATGGTTATTAATAAAACTGACCATTTACTTTTTCTTTGAAGTAAATCCTTCAAAAATGATGCATCTGATCAGTAGCAGATTATACGTTTAAGTAAAAGGTGTGTGGTGGTTTTACAGTGTGGTGTTAAATTTTAGCGAATTTCCTAAATAGGGAAAAAGCTATTCCGTAGGTCTCGTGGTAAGACCTAGACCTATGACCCATTTACTTTTCCGTTTTCAGGTCCCCAGAGGCCAAAAACCTCCTCCGTTCAAATTCATATATATGTTTGCCCGTTAGCAAGATAACTCGAGCAAAGGTGATCCGATTTTGATTGTTTATTCTAAGGGATTCGCGAATCAGCATAATAGGGTATGGAAACGGGGGTTTATGGGTGGTTTTATGGGGTAATTGGATTTTAACATTTTTTACCCTAAAAACATAGAATTTAGCAACTTCTTTCCAAGCCATTTTGTAGAGTTAAAAAAACTATTAATTTAGTATATCGAAGCGATATTATGCGCCTAATGGCTACGGAGAAAATAAAAAAAAACTGTAAATTTAAAATTTCCATGTCATTTTTATGGAGAAATTTTTAAACTGTTGTAGTTTTCTTGTTTGTGAGCCTTTTTTTATCAAATTTGCATTCATTTCATACTAAACTATTACATAAAAAAAAAAATACCCCCGCCGCAGCAAACCTGCCGACTAAGCGAATTTCCATTTGTCTGAATTGATTTTTAGTTAAATATATTTTAATAACATTAGGTTTAACGAGTACCTAGGTTTGCTGCTACAAGGAAACTAATAAAGTGTGTTTTTGAGTAAAATATTGATAGCTTAGTACAAAATAAATAAATTTGCCAAGTTTGATCAAAATATATTCATAAACAAGCAAACTACAACATTTGACAATATTCTCCATAAGAATAACATGGGAATTTAAAATTTAAAATTTTTTAAATTTTCTCCGTTACTAATAATTGAACAAAAATACTTTTATATACTAAATTATTTGTTTTTTTAAGCTCTTTAAAAAGGCCTAAAGAGAAATTGGGAAATTTTGTGTTTTGAGGGTCAAAAGTGAGAAAAACCAATTTTTACCCCATAAAACCCCCCGTAAAGCCCCGTTCCCATGGTCCGATCGTACTGGTTCGCGAACTCATTCAAGTTTATCCCGCTTTACACCTTTAAACCAAATTTAATCAAAATCGGACAAAAATTACTCAAGTTATCGCGTTCACGGACGTATATATATATATATATGTCTATATATATATATATACATATATAAAAATTTGAACGAATAGTGTTTTTGGCCTCTGGGGACATCAAAATGAAAAAGTAAATCGGTCCCGGGTCTAGGTCTTACCGTGCCACCTACGGTAATAGCTACTTCCCTATAGGGAAATTCGCTAAAAACACCTTTTTACCCTCTCTGTAGCAGTAAACCTAAGTACTCAGTTAAACTAAAGCTACATAAATAGGGAATTAATATGATATTGGAGACATTTTAGTGTACATCCAATCAAGCAAATGGAAATTTACTTAGTCTGCAGGTTTGCTGTGGCGGGAGTATTTTGTTTACCTCCTACTAAGCTATCAAAATTTCAATAAAAACACACCTCAACACCTTCCTTGAATCAGCAAACCTAGGTACTCATTAAAATTAATATTATTTAAATAGGAAATAAATCTGACAATTGTCAGGGAATATTTTAGAAGAAATCCAGCCAGAAAAGGAAATTTATTTAGTCTGCAGCTGCGGCGAGGGTTTCTGTGGTTACAGTACTGCATGCTATCTACAAAGCATATATGATGATTTCTATAAAAAAAATTATTATGTACCCAACTAACTATTATCATCAACCAAATGATATGTCTAGAAAGGGGTTAAGATTCTGGGGGTGAAATTCCGGCCCACACACTCTAGATTTTATAACACTACATACACACAGTTAAGCCTTCGAGGGATATCAGTAGACAAAAATAGACAGGATCAGACGTGTAACATGTGATGTTCCTAAAGAACCATTTACTTCCGAGCAGAAGGATTTGCTTGGAAGTAAAAGGTAATCATTATTAATACGGTTTGAAGGATATGCTTTTACTTTTACCTTTTACTAGAAGCAAATGCTTTTGCTTCATACCTTTTCCTTTTGAGCATATCCTTCTTTTTATTAATACGGCTCAATGACTGTTTACAATTAACATATGTTCTTCTTCTCACTTTTAATTTCTGACAACAGCTGGAGTTTCAAAACAATGTTTGTTTCCCATGTTAATCTTATGGAGAAATACAAAACTTTAAAGGGCCCCAGGGCCTCACTCTCTAATTATTTCCCTAAAAAGAAAGTTTCCTGCACAACTTCACGTTACGCTCTTTCCAATGACACCAAAAACATGTCAATCGGTTCAGTAGTTTCGGAGGAGTAATTGTCACAAAAAACCTGCTTGCGTATTAAATAAGTACTAGTGTTCCTGATGCTCGAATTCGAGCAATTGCTAAGTATAACAGGCGTTATTTTAAAACAAATTTTAACCAAGTTTGTAAATGTTTGTAGTAAACTTATTTACTGTTTACAATTAACATATGTTATTATCACTTTTAATTTCTGACAACAGCTGGAGTTTCATAACAACTTTTGTTTCCCATGTTAATCTTATGGAGAAATATGAAACTTTAAAGGGCCCCAGGGCCTCACTCTCTAATTATTTCCCTAAAGAGAAAGTTTCCTGCACAACTTCACGTTACGCTCTTTCCAATGACACCAAAAACATGCCAATCGGTTCAGTAGTTTCAGAGGAGTAATTGTCACAAAAATCTTGCTTGCGTATTAAATAAGTATAGATAGATGACGAACGGTATAAGAAATATGTTATTCATTGAATGATCAACCATATTTTGTAACTAACACGATAGTCATTATTGTTTCTACACATATTTATTACTCATTAAACAATGCTAAATGCTAACATTTTTTATAATTTCACTCTGTCGCAGTTAGAAGAATTATCGTATGCCTTTAAAGCAACCGTCGATCTCGACAGGTTTCACCTAGTTTTAATTATAATACTAGAGGTCGTTCAGTGGTCGAAAACTCAAGCAAAATATGTAATGTACAGGATTCTCTATTTTCACCCCACACTGTAAATGAAACATGTGATTGGAATTTCTTCCATTTGTTTTGATTTTCTGTTTATATTTTGTCACCAGCACCAACCCATAAGACCCATGTTAATTTTTTTTTATTTTAAATTCAGTTTTTGTGCTTATTTTTAAGCCTATTTTAATTTATAAAGGGGTTGTGAACATCTGCAGGAAAATACCTTTATAACAGTATGCGTAGATTTTCCCTGTGATTAACACGAGCTGATAAAAAATGTTTTAAAGAAACATGCTGTGCCTATAAATATGTAGATAAATATTATATTATGTTTATTATACTTACTATATTAATATTTTATTATTATTTTAACATTTATTTTAAAATAATATTATCAGTTAAATATCATTTTGCTATGAATTAAATATGTTTGTTTTAATAATAATTTTGTATCACGGCTAGGCCAAGAGAATTGAAATCACACTTTCTTTCATTATTATTTCTATAATAAGCTCCTTCTTATTTTTTTCAGGAATCAGCAAATCATGTATTTTTGGTTATGGAGGTATGTATTTTTTCTTAGACATTGTTGTAAAATAAACTACTATTATGATGACCATTCTTTATGTTTGATCATGGATGATGTGATGAATTTGACAAAAAAAAAAAAAAAAAAAGAAGTGTACAGTAGAGTCTTGCTATTCTGAAATAAACTAGACTGAACCCAGTTCGGATTAGTTGAAAATTGATATCAATTGAGGCTCTTTTCATTAATAATACACCAGTCTTTATATATAAATTAAGTTCTTGGACTTGTGCGATTGACATAAGACTCCATGCACTCGATTGGGCCAACTGATCAGGTGATAAGTGAACAGGTTACAGTTAGTTGGTTGCACTGCATGTACATACATGAGAGTGTCAATTCCAAAATTTAACCCACTCTAACACACCCCTCCACCTTACCACTCTTTACAACCACACCATAGACGGAAATTTCAAATCAGCCAGGTCAGGTGTGCATTTAATGTGGTGTTGGAGCTTCCTGGGAAAGACCCATCTATAGGTCTCGCCACCCTAAGTTGAGGCAGCCCAGACGGACGGGCAGGGTCATTATCGGCCGGTCCCGCCCGACCCTTTATAATCCGATTAGTGACACTTCCGTGAACACTCTAGTTCCATAATTGTCATTAACAAAGTTAAAAACCGATGTATAAATTTAGTCTTTTACATTAATAACGTCTATTTAACAAACATTTCCGTTTTCGTCCCATCAAAATCGGACAATGTTTACGGTTCGTGAGCTATAAACAAAAAACAAAGTAGTGTAGACCCCAAAATCAAAAAACCGTAAACATTGTCCGATTTTGATGGGACAAAAACGAAAATGTTTGTTAAATCGACGTTATTAATGTAAAAGACTAAATTTATACATCGGTTTTTAACTTTGTTAATGACAATTATGGAACTAGAGCGTTCACGGAAGTGTCACTAAATCGGATTATAAAGGGTCGGGCGGGACCGGCCGATAATGACCCTGCCCGTCCGTTTGGGCTGCCTCAACTTAGGGTGGCGAGACCTATAAAATAAGCTGTGGGATCAGGTGGGAATCAGCAGGATGAATGGTTTTTATCCTTATCCTCACTGTGTTTGTGTCCATCAAAAAATTAGCTTTGTGTTCATAAGATGAAAGTAAACATGATAAAATAGCCTATGCATTATGCATAAATCACTGAATACTCCCTGGAATGCAAATGGTTAAAATTGACTAATATTTATATTCGATTCTAGCTTGCAGTAACTTAACAGATTGCCAATCAACAAACTTTTTACTAGGCTATCTCCTGCTTTACAATTGCTTAAAAAAATCTCGTTTGAAGTTTGTAGATTTTCAGAACGGCAGAAGTTTACTGCATATAAAACAGCCAGCTTACGCTATAGTCAGCTTTTTTGTAAACGGTACTTCAATGTGCATGCCAATTAACAGAGTAAAATATTAACTAAATTACTTTTTTTGAGGGACTTCTTTTGTACATAAATTGGGCCAGCTTGTTATCCACTAAGCTTAACTTTTCTCAATATAAGTTACTAAATTTTAAGAGAGGCACTACTATTTGTCAAATTTACTATACATTTTCATTTAATACACTTTTGATATGTTACAGTACTGCAATGGAGGAGATTTGGCGGACTACCTGTCAGGTATTTATTTTTTCCCTACCAACTTTTTTTTGGCTCCAGTTGAGGGCCAAAATTAAAATGTCTCCAAAACAAAATACAAAAAAAAATAGTTGTTTGTCAGTGCATTTCACGTGCAGACATTATTCTCTGTTTTTGTCAAAAGCCTTTGTAATATGTTTCATATTGACTCATTGATTAGTGTTCTTTAATATGTTTAATTTATGCCTGCCTTCTTTATTTTAATTGAACTAACACATGTTTAATTATTATTATGATTGTAAATAATGTCCAACAAATACACACATCTTTTTTGTCAAAGTCTTGTCTGTCTTTAATATTTTTTACATTTGGTGCCGAAACCCGACTTTATCATGTCAATAAGGAGATCAGAGAGGGAAAGACACCCTCCAGACAGATATACTCCAGCAATTGGGAATAACAACGACAAAACTGTTAATCCAAAGCCAAGTAATGACCAACCATCAGTATCTGCCAAATCTAGTACTTCTTCTAGTAGACGACGATTAATGGAAGTGGAGTTGAAGAAGCTGGAAGAAATACAGAAATTGGAAAGAGCCCATGAGGAAAGAGAAATGGAGCGACAACGACAAGTTGAAGAAATGGAGCGACAACGACAACGACAAGTTGAAGAAATGGAGCGACAACGACGAATGGAAGCTAGAGAACTAGAACGACAGAAGCAACTGCTGACAGCGAGAGCTGAGCTTGAGTCTGCTTCAGTGTGTGGCAGTCAACAGTCAAGCCGCCCTAGTAATCGATCTGAAACCAAGGTAGGACTTAGCATAAATCTTGATGATGAGGAAGAACCGCAAAGCAAGGTTGAAAGGTGGTTGAATGAAAAAGAACCAAGTCCTCATCAGCCATCATGACCTCAGCCGTGCAAAAGCTTGCGGATACCTTCCAAAAAGCTATACAGCCTGTTTCATTTCGTCAAAAACTTCCAAGCTTCAGTGGCAAGCCTGATGAATGGCCGATATTTTTTTCGGCGTATGAAAAAACTGCCTATCTTTTTAGTGAGGATGACAACCTCATAAGAGTAAGGAATTGCCTAGAGGGAGAAGCATTTAGAATGGTTAAGCCTCTTTTTGTCTCAAGTCAAAATCTTAAGTCAATTATCAAGACCTTACAGATGCGTTTTGGTAGACCAGAACTCATTTTGGAGTCAATGTTAAAAAAGACTCGTAGGCTACCTTCTGTCAAGGAAGACGACACTACAAGTCTTGTTGAGTTTTCGACAAATATTTTGAATTTTACTGCTACAGCAGAGTCATTACATCTAGAAAATTATGTATTAAATCCTTACTTACTAAATGAATGTCTCAACAAACTTCCCTATAGTTTAAAATACAGGTGGGCTGAACATGTAAGTAATAATGCTCTAAGCAGTCCCGACTTGAAGGAGTTTTCCACTTGGTTGGAAAAACAATGCTCAATCCTGAGTATTTACTTTCGTCCTACAGAAGAGAAACTCTGGCAGAAGAAAACTGACATAAAGCCGGTTTATACCAGTTCTACCGAAGACAAACAGTTTAACTGTATGTTTTGTCTCGACAGCCACGAAAGTGAACGATGTGGAGTTTTCAGGAAGGCAGATGTATCGCAGAGATGGAAAATGATTGTCGAAAAGAAACTATGTTTCTTCTGCTTTCGACGTCACCAGCTCCAAAAATGTAAAGTAAAAAAGGTTTGTGGGATAAATGGGTGCAGGTTGTTTCACCATCGTCTCCTCCATACTGACAAAATTGAGAGGTTTCCCAAACAGGACAGCGAACCGCAAAATAAAGAAATTATTAGCAGTCATGTTGTTAATAACCGTGTTCTACTAAGAGTATGTCCAGTGACATTATATGGCCCAAGTTGTCAGATCGACACTTACGCACTCTTAGATGATGGGTCAACAGTATCTTTGTTGGATTCAGCTACAGCCGATAAATTAGGCGTCAACGGTAGTATTGAACCCCTCACGACATGCTGGTCCAATGCAACCCAACATTTCGACCCAACATCCATGACTGTGAAAGTTAAAATTAAAGGGTTATATGAGGACGAAGTATTTGCATTAAACAATGTACGAACCCAGTCACCATTGGACTTACCAAAACAAATGGTGGATACTGTCAAACTGAAAAAGAAGTGGTCTCACTTACGGTCAATTGTTCAACCTTTACCGTCAGCAAATTTGAAACCTACAATACTTATAGGTCAAGACAACTGTGACCTTATTCTAGCAAGGAAAATAATTGAAGGTCCTCCCAACTCTCCAGTCTTGTCTTGGAGCCGTTTAGGCTGGACATTGCACGGTAAATGTCATGAACACATTGGGCGAGTAGATAGTCAATTCACTTTAACGTCTTTTGAAAGTGAAAAACTTCATGATATTATCAAAGATTCTTTTGAAATCGAGAATTATGGCGTGTCCCTAGTAGAAGATGACAATGTGAAATCAGTTGAAGACGAAAAAGCCCTCAAGATTTTAGAAGATACGACCAAAAAAGTAGGGGATAGGTATGAATCCGGCCTACTATGGAAGTCAGAAGACTTTAAATATCCACCGAGCTATGAAAATGCGCTGAAAAGGCTTAAGGGTATTGAAAGGAAGATGGCAAGAGACGAAAACTTTCATAACAAATACAAAGCCAAGATCACTGATTATGAAGAAAAAGGTTACATCAGAAAACTACGTGATGACGAAGCTAATGTTATAAATGACCGGACTTATTATCTGCCTCATTTTGGGGTAATAAATCCAAACAAACCTGACAAACTGAGGTTAGTATTTGACGCAGCTGCTAAAGCGAATGGTGTGTCATTCAATGATGGTTTGCTTAGTGGTCCTGACCTTTTGAACCCTCTGCCAGCAGTGCTTCTCAAATTCAGATTAAGAAAATTTGCGATCGCAGGTGACATACAAGAAATGTTTCATCAAGTACGTATCAGAAAAGAAGATGTCGATTCGCAAAGGTTTCTATGGAGAGAAGATCCGAACAACAAACCAGATACCTATATCATGGAAGCAATGATATTTGGATCAACGTGTTCCCCGAGTACTGCCTTGTATGTAGTAAACAGCAACGCCAAGAGGTTTCTACAAATTTACCCAGAAGCAAGTAAAGCGATCCTCTGCAGTGAATACATGGACGATCTACTAGACTCTACTGATACAGAAGAAGAAGCTATAATTAGAATACAACAGATAACAGAAATTCACAAGTCCGGAGGTTTTAAAATCTGTAACTGGTTGTCAAATTCAAAAGAAATTTTACTTGAAATACCGGAAGATTTGAAGACAAACTCTACAAAACTACTGCAACTTATCGCCGGCCTCTGACTAAAGTTGCAGTCCTTACCGTTGGAGGGGAAAACATGTAATATGTTTCATATTGACTCATCGATTAGTGTTCTTTAATATGTTTAATTTATGCCTGCCTTCTTTATTTTAATTGAACTAACACATGTTTAATTATTATTATGATTGTAAATAATGTCCAACAAATACACACATCTTTTTTGTCAAAGTCTTGTCTGTCTTTAATATTTTTTACAGCCTTCTTGATTTCACCATCACTAATGTATGTAGTAACAAAAAAGGATAAAAAATTCATGACCAAATAGGCAATAATTGATGTATAAAAAGGGTTCGTATTAATATTTTTCTTGTTGAATTGGAGTTAATTTAGGTAATTTAACTGCTTTTAAATTTAGAAGTAGGAACTAAAAAGTTAGTTTTTGTTTTTTTTTTAAGGCAAGTTTTGACCTAGAAATTTTAAATTTAAATGGAACATAGAAAACCTGAAATTGTCCTTGAATGTTTTTTCATGGCTTTCTGGACACCCTGTATGGACATATACTTTAATGAAATTGAAACATATTAAACTATAATAAGATTATAATAATAGTGTTTTTTTTTTTAAATCCCTAACCAAATTACAAGTACAGACAGTTGCTGTTCAGAGCCAAACAAGCTCATAAGTTGGCAGCTCTGCTTCAATTACTCCATTATCAATCAGCACGTTGTTAGACGATTATTCCTCTGTCGAAACATTGGTCAAAACATAGTGTATGTAGTATTAGTAGACAGGACTTGTCTGCTGCCATATTGGAGCACATCTTACTAATATTATAAACTAGGTGAAACCCGCCGAAATCGACGGTTAGGGGCCTCCTAGTTTATATGGTCGTGTGGCTTCATTGGCAACAAATAATGTAAATGAAATAGCAATGTGGCATTTCCAAAGAGAAAAACATACTGTAAATTGGCTGTTACGTAAATATTGACGTTTACATGCTTGTTAATCAACATATCTTATAAAGGATAATGTGATCTAGTTTAAAAGGAATGTGACCTTTCTGTCATGACAGTAGCTGCTTAAATAGTATTTACTCTTACAGCCAAAATATCGTGTTACTTTCAATAATTTTACCAACCCAGTGTGCCATGGTCCGTAATATAGGCCACTACAAATAATTTGTCAAGATAGGTACCATTTTAGGCAAGATTTTTGTGTTTGGATGTTATTAGACACGATAAGAGCACACTGAACTTCTTCTGCAGATGAATAACTGTTGGAGAAATATAAGCCGAATCATAAATATCACGATGCGAGTTTGAGCATTTTGTAACTATATGAGGAAGTTACATAGTATTTTTTAAGCTGCTGCTCAGTGCACATTAAGAATATATTTTTTAGAGATAAATTATGCACTTTAAGAATATATTTTTTAGAGATAAATTAAATTGTTTTTGTTGCTGGTAGTAAACACGCACAACCATTTTTTTGTTAGTCTAATAACATTCAAAGGCTCTCTAAGAGTTCAAGAAAATAATATTGCAAATACTTTCTTTGGACAATTCAGTAACACTCTATAAATTTAAGTTGTTTAAAATACAATTTAAAAATTAACAGCTGTTTCATTAAAAAGTATTATCCACATGGCCAAAATGTAAACAAATCTGTGGAGGGATCTTTAAAAGGCTTCTGCGGCAGAGCCCTAAGCGAATG